GCCATCCATTGGCATAAAACTTATTCGAAAGAACCCCCAAAGGGTTCTCCATTGAATTTAAGTCTGAGAAAAAACACAGGGGTTCTCGCAAAACATAAAAAAACATAAATATCCGAATTACAAGTATATATAAAGCATTTCCATTGTATTTAAAAGCAGCCCACAGTATTGCTCGACATAGCCCGCCTCCCACTTTTCCACCATTAGTGTTTTTTATACCCTGTACCCGTAGGGTATAAAGGGTATATTAGGTTTGTGCAAAGTATGTAACATGCAGAAGGAAGCATCTCCGACCCCATAAAGTATATATATTCTGAATCAGCATGACGAGAGAAATCGATCTAGACATGTCCGTCCGTCCGTCCGTCTGTCCGTCTGGATGAACGCAAGGATCTCAGAAACTATAAGAGCTAGAATAACCAAAGTTGGCATCCAGATTCTCCTAGGTCCTAGAAAGCACGAGTTTATTTTATTTTTGGGAATTTTCCCCCCCTTCCCCCGCTACAGAATTTCGTCAATAGCGTCCACATTTCAAATGCTACCTAAACCAAACTTTGCACACATAATTTATATGTAATTATCTACTGTTGATTAATTTTATCCAATTCGGTAAATTCTAAGAAAAGTTATTAGCGAAACAAATTCTCTACAGTACAACCCCGCCAAACTGCAGCAACAAGTTCGCTCTTCTTCTTCCTTTTTTTGGGCGCATATAACTCAGTGACGGAAGTTGACCTGGGTACAGGGTATTACACTGTCGGGCTTGCTCGACTGTAGCGTTCTCTCATGTTTTATACTCTGTACATGAAATGTACAGAAGTATATTAGGTTTGCGGGAGCTGAAAAAGTCCCAGATGCCTTATGTGAATACGCAGAAAATGTATATTTTGGAATTTCCCTCCCTCCCCCCTCTCCCCTGCAAATCGCAATTTTATCTAACTCCCGTAATTCTTGGAATTTCGAACTAAAATTTTGCAAATACCCCCAGTTAGTTATTATGTGTCCGTATGCCAAGTTTCACTATGATAGACCGATTTAACAAGAAGTTATAGCCATAAATATATTTGCTGCTGCGCCGCTGCTCAAGCGCTGGCCGCAGCTGTTGTTGATGTTGCTGTTTGGTTGACTGCTAACATGTTTACACAGACACGAATAGATGCGCATAGGCAATACGCATTGCAATGTGCAATTAAACACCCTTTACGTGAGTTCGAATACCGAGAAAGGTAAAATCGATTAAAATTTTTGTATTTTCTATAATTATTGTAAACATATGTACAGAGTATTTCAAAGTCGGGACACCCGACTTTAGCTTTTTTACTTGTTTCAAAACTTTCGTTGTTTTGGAATTTTTTACCCAAATTCGTCATCCGGACATTTGTTGAGGCTGTTGTTGTTGCTGCTTTGTCTGCAATGAACACATACCATACACACGTATGCTTAGACGCACACGTGACTATAGGGTATTTAGGAGTTGAGCCCGCTCGACCCTAGCATACCATTTGCGTCTAGAGCTACACACCAATTTATTTAATTATATTTTTTATGATATATTGTTTAATGATAAATTTCTTGTTTGATTTCAGGACGCAAACAAAAATGGTGTAATTAAATAGAGTGTGGAATAAATTTCATAAATATTATGGAGTATTGAAAATATGAAAGGCCCTTGTTGCTGGCACACACCGAGAACATAAATTATAATTCTTCAGCGCCTTGCTTTGTTGCCCAACCAACATCTCGAGGTGTTCGAAGCCTACATAAATTAATAGAAATATCAAACTGCTGGGGCATGAAATTGATAAAAGACTTTCCAATTAGCGCGACTGAGATGCAGCGAGCAATTAGCAGGGCTCTAGGTGTGTGGGTTGGGTAGGGAAGTTTAAACAGGGCCAGACGCTTGCAGGCGTGCGCTCTTTGCTTTTTTGTTGTTGCTACAGAATTAGACTGCAAGCATAAATAGAATAATACATGGGAGCAGCAGCAAGCACAGCTGGTGAGAGAAAAAGTGAACAAATTTGATTTTTTTATTTGCTTTAAAAATACATATAGTAGTATACTTGTGGAACACCCTCGAATGAGTGAAGTTTTATGAAATGTAAAATTTGTACGGGTGGGTCTATTTTTAATTTTTGGAATTACGACTGTATTTTAATAACCCGGACACACTGCTTGTTAGTCGTAGTTGGCATGCATGTACAAATTCGGTTCATTACCTTGTCAACTCTATTTCGAAATTGTTGGCAGTCTCACGTTGAAATGCTGGCAGATCGGGTCGATAAGGAGGGCATAAACAGATCACAACACCCAGAAAATGCGCGTAGTTGTTGCTGATAGAACGAGATTTTTGAAACATTAATGCCAGTGCTATATTCCTCAATATACTCGTGCATATCAGTACGCTTTAATACTCTTTCAGGGAAAAATGTAGCTCCACAGAAACCTTTCTTAACTTTTCATATCTGCACGCAACTAACAATATTCAGGGCAACATATAGCTCAACTTTTTCAACCTATGTTATATTCATCTGAATAGTTTGCACAATCGATGCATTGTATTGAGTGTTCAATTTAAATACCGCTCCGTCCACAGCTTGCTTTCTGTTTTTTTTTTTTTTGCGCTTCATTGCCTCAGGAGCAATAGCTTCGATGCACCACACTGAAATAATTTTGTTAAAACGCAGCTGAAGTGTATGATATGGCTAAACATATCTGTACATGTCCCATACATTAGTATAGTTATGTCTAGATGCAGGAAAATAGGCCACACTCTGTACCAGACGAAATAACCCGCCCAAACTTATTATACCCTGCATCCGTAGGGTAAAAAGGGTATATTAGGTTTGCGCAAAGTATGTAACATGCAGAAGGAAGCATCTCCAACCCCATAAAGTATATATATTCTGAATCAGCATGACGAGAGAAATCGATCTAGACATGTCCGTCCGTCTGTCTGTCTGGGTGAACGCAAGGATCTCAGAAGCTATAAAAGCTGGAATAAACAAAGTTCGTATCCAGATTCTCCTATGTCCGAGAAAGGACGAGCTTATTTTATTTTTTGGAATTTTCCCCCCTTCCCCCGCTACAGAATTTCGTCAATACCGTCCACATTTCAAAAGTTACATTAACCAAACTTTGCACACATAATTCGTACATTCTACAGTCTTCATAGTCTACTTTTGTTTCAAATTTCATCTAAATCGGTTAATTCTATGAAAAGTTATTAGCGAAACAAATTCTCTCAAGTACAACCCTCCAAAAACTGCTGCAACAAGTTCGCTCTTCTTCTTCCTCTTTTTACTTCTGCTATGGGCTCATATAACTCAGTGACGGAAGTTTACCGGGGTACAGGGTATTACACTGTCGGGCTTGCTCGACTGTAGCGTTCTCTCTTGTTAGAGATTCCGATAGCATTTTTAGCCCAGACCACACGTTGACATCAACAAATGGCTTAAAAATAAAGCTCATCATCATATTTATGGTAGACTGATCTTGATGCTCTACTCAATACTGCGACAATTAAGGACTTTGATTAAACGTAAGATGATGAGGACAGATGAAGGGAAACTTATTAGTAATTGGGAGTCGAAATCGTTATAAACAAAATGATTTGGTATCGAATGAACACCTAGATCTTAGCGAATATAAGACTAACTAGAGACACATAATTTTGCACAAAGATGCCTTATATGTGTACGCAGTACAAGTGTATTTTAAAGATTTCCTCCCATCCCACACTCCCCAGAATTTTAAATTTAATTTGGCAGCGGCTTGTGCTTATGTGTCGTACGTTAACTTTCATCATGATAGATCAGATGCTATGAAACTTAAAGCTTGTATAAATGTAATCTCTGCCCAAGCTCTGCCCGATAAGGTATAATCGATAACAAGAAATATTTTAGTACATTTTGTATTTACTCTTTTTTTCAATTTTGTTAATTTTTTAAAATTTACCATTTCCACTTAAAATATGAAATGCCAGAACAAATATATAACAAAATAAATAAATACTCATAAATCATTTTAAAATACAACAAAACACGAGTATCACGTTTATACTCTGTACAGGTAAGAGGGTATACTAGCTTATTGGGATTCTTCAAGGTATGATCAAAAGAAAATATGATTTTAGAATTTTTTTTGAAAAGTATTTATTTATTCATGAATATCTATTTTGTCCCATTTAAAGTAATCCCCCTCAGATATAGTGCACTTATGCCATTCCTCCAATCGTCGAAGCACTTCTGAAATGCGATTTTCGGTATGGCCATCAGCTTGTTCTCAGATTTTGATTTTATCTCATAAATTGTAAGAAAACGCTTTCCTTTTATTGGTCTTTTTATTTTTTCTCCAATTAGAATTATCCAATTAGAATTCATTGTGGAATGGAGGGCAGTCTTTAATATAGTACTTAGTTAATACTTTTCTCCAGTTAGTTTGCATAATACAAATATATGTTTACCTGTTTAGTTTCATTTTAGTAAACTCATTTAGTTTTATGTTGTATTAGGTTAGGTGCTTATGGTTGCCATTATACCCATAACAGCAGTCTGATGTTCTAATTCTAATAATGCCTTATGAGCTTTTTCTTATGAAGCTGGATTGACTTTTATCTTATTATCATTTATTTTATTTAATAGGATTTCAATAATATTATACTTTAATTATTATTATTTATTAAATAATTGTTATTATTAAATCGCCACTTGATTTAACGGAAGGTTCCCCAATGCGAGTGCTTGTGTGTCCGATAAGCCAACTATTCAATAAAACTTTTCAGCTTTTAAGCTTTTAAAAGCTCAAGCTTCACAGAACAGGACAACGTTCAATGCAAAAGCTTTGAGCGAAGTGAAACACCAAAAGCACTTGCAGCTTTTCAGATCAAAGTTCCTAACCATTTAGCACAAAGAAAGCTTTCGAGATATGCAAATAAGTACGATTATATATAGAGAGATATAACTGTAAAAATGTAGGCAATTAAGTTAAAAAATTGTGCTTACCTGAAAAAATAGTGTGAACGCTACCCATTGATAATATTTTGTGTGCTTTATTGTTAGAGGCCCACGCCCCTGTGAATTGTGAACTCCGGGAAAAGGCACCTCGGAACCTTGCTTTTTCATGAATGCATCCACCACTGTATATGTTGAATGTATCCAACAATATGTGTTGAGGACATCTTCGGGAATGTCTCTGCGGGAAATCGAGAGAGTATGACACAAAGATTAGGTATGTTCAAGTGACTCCCATTCCGGTTCAATTCTTCTGCTTTCTTCTTCTTCGTCTCAGCTCACCTTGTGTGAACACAGTCTATGGGATTTCCAACGTACTGCCGCGTCGTCACAGCAATCGAAAATGTTATCAGTAAAATAACCGTTGCATTCGTGTGCAGGCGAAAAACAGGTGAATCGATTTTGACATGAGACACCTATTTCGATCAATTGGTGTCAGCGAGAGTGTGTGTTTTTGTTTGGGTGTGTTGGGAGAGAGTGTTGTATATTCGATACGACGAAGGGCGTATGTGAAGAAAGAAAATATTATTATTAAGCGAATAGGCAGCGGGGTATTATTTAAAATTTATAAAAAAGAAGAAACACGTTTAAGACAATGTTCTAGGTCAGTATTTCATAAACTAATTGCAGACTTTTCTGTTGTTTGTTTTATGCTGCATATCTTATTTGCCTGGATTCGAGACGAAACGGTACCAAAACAGAACCAAAGATTCAATTTATAATATAGACATTTGGAACGGACTCCTAGGGAATCCCTAGAGCTATAGAGCTTCGGTTAGTTGAGTGTTTCGGTACTGTTTCGTTTCGATTTCCTGCCACGAAACCATTTTACTTTACTCGTATTGTGAATGGACTCGCCTTATAAATATATAATTAGGCTCACTTAACTATAAAAATGAATAGCAGAAAACTTTTCTAGGCGTACAGTCTTTAATGAATAGGTTAACGGTAAATAGTAGTTTGGTTTAGGGTACATGTGTACCTAAATATGTTGAACTTTTTAAAGGGAGAATAGTTGCGGCGTGTGAGGTTCATTCGAAAAACCAATTATCAATAGGTAATATGCAAGTCTTCAAATCCGACGACTGTTAGTACTTGGATAAATCCAAGATAAATATTAATAACTTTTAATGCAATCAATTACTAAATCCATCAAATACGAATAAAACAAATGCAATGCCTTTCAAGCAGATGATGCATTTACTTGTCACAGAGCTACTTGTATGTGGTCTGCAAGTCACGAAACACACGAAAACACTCTGGAAACGCAATTAACTTAACAAAGCAACTGGAAAGAAAGAAAATTACGAGTTCTTCCTAAACTAGCCCTGTATTAGACTTAGTATTAGATCTGCTAAATAGTCCATGTTGACTGTATCGATCTTTGTCGAATATTTGTTAACTGAACAAAAATCAATTTTTCACTTTCGATTAGATCATTCATCAGCAGCGTTACTTTCAAGTAATGAATATGCTTCTTACTTTATAGTATTAATCGATTCTTTAAAAATAAATCGATTTAGAATCGATTCGTTTTGCAGCTCTACCTTTAATGTCGTCACTGAATACATGCTGCGCAAAAGCTGACTTGTAGGAAACTTTAAGTGAAATATTGCAAAAAGAATTGCTAACGGACAAAAAACAATGTATAGTATTGTATTGGAATCAATCTAATGTCCGAGAATGAAATTATCGTGAGAAGTAGTCAGAAGCCAGAAACGGTTGATGGTACGAGCGACAATTAAAGCGCATAATTTTAAAAAGCATGTACTTTTAAGTTAGTAATTTAGTTCAATTTGAAAGTGAAGCTTTTTTTGGTTGTTTCGTTTTTCAGATGGACTTGGTCACGCCTCAACTTTTCCCCGGTTTTGCTGTAGTTTTTGTTCCTGGTTGTAATAATGCGAAATAAATACAATTTGCAATTGAACATATTCCTTTTTATTTATAATTCATTTCATAAGTAAGTATAGTAAGGTGTCACAGCATTTGATTACAGCCCAATTAAAATAAATGAAATCAACGAAAATATTCATAAAGTTGTATATGGGTGTGTGTGTGTGTGTGAATATGTTTGTTGTGGGTGTAAGTGTATGTGGGTATGTGTGTGTATGTGTGTGTGCAAAATGTAAGTGAAAACTAAAAGCGACATCTTGTTGATCTCGTTTGAATGAAACGGCTGGGAATGCAAATTTGAATTAGTACGCAATGCGTTGAAATGATGGCGACGCCTGAAGTGGCAGCATTTTGAAAATTTGAAATTTCTTAATGGGAGCCAATTATTGATACTGCCATTCAAAGTGTCGCCCAACAATGTGGGAGCAATTTTCAGTTTTGGATGCTTGAGAGCCAATTGGAACTATTGCTTGTTCGCTTTGTTTTCTGTTGTTGTTCAGTTTTCGGTTTGGTTGGTTTGTAACGATGACCACTTAATCGATATTTTATAAAATGTTCACACTTTCAACTGCTGACTATGGAAAGCGTATTTTAAAAAATATATATAAAGATGTATATATACGAGTATATTATTTAAGTAAAGCAAAAATATAACAGCCTATGAAATTTCGATAATGGATTCGATTCGATTCGAAATTCAATTTAATGCAGACCTTTCTTTTGATTCTGCTTCTGTGATTGATTCGTGAATGTTAGTTGTTGTTGTTGGGTTTTATTTTTAATATATATATATTTTTTTTGGAGGGGGTTTGGATTGCTTTGTGGTTTAGTGGTCGTCAGTGTTGCAAAACAATTGAGTCAGAGATAATTATTAGATGAGGTGAGAACTTGAGTGTTGAATATAAAGTGAGTGAAGTTTAGTTGTATTTGAATTTGCTTTTGAAGTGAAAGCTGAGTGGGTGATAAAGAGAGAGATAGAGAGTGAAATAGAGAGAGAGAGAGAGAGAACGTGACATGTGTGGCAAAAAGTCTAACATGTGACAGTGGCTGGTGATTGGTGATTTGTGATTGTCTGCTGCTGCATTTGCTAATCATTCCGCACCAGTGGTGTGGCGATCAATTTGGTGGGCTTGGTGGGTGAGCGTGTCGGTGAGCAAATTCAGTGTGGGTGAACGGTGTGTTTGTCGTGTACATTGCTTTCTGACAATAAGAGTGAAAATCGTACGTGACAAGTTTTATGACAAATAAAAATACAATTAACATATAACATATAAAAATATTATATATATATATATATGTATATGTTATATATATTTTAACAGCTAGGTGAATTGACTGTTGAAAATGTATTAGGTACGAAATGCTTTAAGTAATAAATATAAAGGTTGTACACTTATACTAAAAGAAATTAGGGCAATAGAATAAGTTAGGTAGCAAGAGAAATATACGAGTAGAGAGCGCTGTATTTTTTAAATACTGTTTTTTCGTTTTTAAATCTGTGTTCCGCTCATATGAATTTTGTTGTGGCTTTAGGAATTTATCTTTAGCGATATTTACTTAGAATTTTTCAGTTCAAAAATTACAGGCCAGCACACAACTGGTTGCTCAACACTGCTAGCGTATCGCGTGCTGTCCTGCGTTTTTAAACAATACTTTATTTTAATTACGAGTAATTTTACGGCATATCTATGTGTTTCTGAATAAAGTTTTTTAAGTAATTTAGCACACATAGGTATGTAAGTTTAATAACTGCAAATTACATGTGGATACAATACGAGTTATATGCATTTTTTTGTTGTTTTTGTTTTTTTTCTGGGACTTTAAGAGTGTTGTGTAAGCTTAAACAAACACCTGTTTCTAATATGTATTGTACGAGTATTTACAAATTTCATTTGGATATACGAGTACGTATTGCTTATTGGAGTTGTAAATTGTAGTGGTTTGTTGTAACTGTAGATGTAGCTGTAACTGTATTAGTATTGTAATTAGAGTTACTTTGTATGTGTGTGCTGCGGTTAGGCCTCGGCTTGATTCGATTCGATTGGACTGGGGATTTACTTGAGCCGCATCAGAAAGGTGTCGGTGGTTTTGATTGCGTCTTTTTCTTTTATAGGGATATCGTTTTTATGGTTTAGCTTTGCATTTTATAGTTGTGTGTATATTTTATAAGACTTTACTGCTTATTTATGTAGTTGCTTACTTTATCGGCTCGGCCTGTTAACGGTATTTGGTTTGGCTTGGTATTGGTATTGGTTTTTGGCTTAGCTTGTAGCTTGTAAGTGAGTCAGTGATTGCGTGAGTGATTGCGTGATAGATCAGAGACAGAGCGACAGTAACTGTGACGTGGTGATTTAGTACTTTAGTGACTTAGTGATTCAGTGAGATCGTGAGTGAGTGATTGAGAAAGTAAGTTTTATGCTTATAAGCTCTTTTTATTAGCTTATTAGTTTTTATTTGATTTTTACGTGAGTTTTGTGTAGCAAGTATAGAATATATAGTATGTGTAGAGTATATATATATATATATACGTATTTTTAATTATGTTGCCGATTCTCTTGATTAAGCTTTTCCTCTCGTTGTTGTGTGTACATTTGTTTGCAGTGTGTATGTGAGACAATGTGTGGTGTGTAACAACAAATTAAACAAGATCTAGAGGCAGAGAGTAGAGCAGTATTTCAATTCAGTAACTAGTGTAGAGAGCGTTTTTAAAATATGTTTTTATTTTGGTTGATTTTATTTAAATTGGACTCTAAGTTGATGTTGCGGATCAAGCGTGTTTTGTTTACATTCCACAATCCTATTTAAACATCATCAGTCGCTTTCTGTTTTTACTTTTCGTGATCGAGCGAGCAAACAAATTTCCGCTGTATTCGAATTAGGCAGGTGAGAAATTGTGAGTGAGTGTGGTTCAGCCAAAGGCGGCATAGAGTATTTAAAGTAAAGGCTATGTATGTCTGTGACCTGAAAAATGGCTCAAGTGTTGATAAACGCTCAATGGATTACATAGTCGTTTTAACCTTTCTCAACAACTAGAAGCTCCGCAAATGCTATTAATGATGCAATCATGTGTATACATTTATATAATGTGACAGTAAAGAACAAGAAGGTGCACGAAATACGGGACGATGAAGTGTGAAATAATTAGCATAAAGATGTGAGGTGGATCCTTACAGGTCGTCGCTTGTGATTGATTGTACATCTAAGGTGAAGTCTTCTAAAATAGTACGTATTTAATTAGCTATGAAACTGGGTGAGTAAAACAATGTGGTGCGTGACACGAGAGTCGTGAGTGTTATGTGTGTGGTGCGTGACACCCGCAAAGGCATCGTGTATAGCATGTATAGTATACGCATCGTCTAATTGCTCTTTGGAGATTTCTCGAATTAATTCCTGATCGTTTTGTGACTTTGTGGTGGTGGTGGTGCTGGCTTAGTGGCGGTTGAGTCCACTGGTGAACTGATTATATAGAGTGTATACGAATCTGCGCTGCTGATGAGTTTGCAAAATTGTGTTTTTTTTTTTT